AAAAAAGCGGGGGGGGGGGGGGGGGATTACATTTGGAAGCAAGCTTAATGGTATGTAAATCTTAGTCTGACACAGACATCAATCTAAGTGAAAGACATTGACTTTCTTCACTTTTTACTAGTTTTGCAACAATGGTGATTTGTTCATTTCTGGAAGGAAAGAAGAATTCAAAACTTTTGCTTCAACACCCATTTTAACAATTCGGAACCTAATTTGAATCATCTTATATCATTTATGGTATTACTGTTACCTTCAGCCCTTTTATCCCCTTTCCTGCTTTCTACCTTCTCCCTGTTCTGTAATAACATACTGTTGTGGTAAACCTTTCAAATCTTCAAATCTTCCACTGAGTTTTTCCAGAGGTGAGCATAATTTAAATACTTGGAAACAACCATCAACACCAACTAGCATTCATGTATGTATGGAACTCACACATGTATTCCTGAACACTAACATTTTCAAGCCTTTAAATCTAAAACTGCAACTCAGTATCTGTAAGTTTGATACATACACACAAGCATGCCTGCTGGCTAAGGATGAATTTTCTAATCCACTCTGACACTCAGCAGTCAGAATGTCTCATCAGACCACACATTTTATCATCAAATATTAACATGGATATGTAGTTGTAGATATAAATATTCAAAATTTGGAGATTAGGCACTAGTCTGGCTTTAGAGCTTTATCAAGAAGAATTTGAAGGTGTGCAACAGCAGTAGACTAAAATTTCAAAAAGGAACCCAGTCAGAATATCTGCAATACCAACCATTTGCAAAATGTGTACAGGTATGAGAAGTCTAATTTTCAGGACTATAAATATAAGCTGATGCAGAATTTTGAACATCTAACAGAGCATAATAGTACCAGGAGAAGTGCTGCAGTGTGCAGTTATGTCTAATGGAAATTCATTCTATCCTTAGAAAAGCTCTTTCTAACAAAGCGTTCCCTCACACACTAGAAGTTCATTTCCCTGATAAATGTCACAAAGATGGTATTTAATGATATTTGAATATTGCATTCCTAGCAAACATGTACGTTACATATAGGCAACAAAATTGTGCAGTTTATTTTCTCTCTCATTTTGAGGGTCTTTTCTAAAGCCATTCAAGCACTTTGTAGCATAAACTGTAATAAATTTTCTACAGCAGAGAGAGAGTCAGCAACAAAATTTAGGTTACAAAAAAGCATAGAACAAAATAACAAAATGCAAGGAAGCCAAAAGCCTACTTAGTTTTTAAAGTTCATGGCTCTTTACCACACCTCACATACCTTATAGTCTATATAAGTTCTTTATATTTTAAGTAGTTATAAAGTAGCAATAAAGAACATTTCTATCTATAGGTTTAAGTGATATTTTGAAATAATTACAGGAAATATTTAACTGCTCTTTAACAGTTTAATTAAAGAACAGTGAAAGATGAAATGGATATCACGACAAATCCACAATAGTCTTACCATGTGAGTGCTGGTTGTCATTAGCTGAGGATAGGAAGAGAAGCAAGTAGCAAAAAGAAAAAAAGCACACAAATAAAATAGACCAAAATATCAATGGGTAAAATAAATAAAATGCAAAAGTCTTAGAATTTGCATTCATGTGACTGCAAAGCAAGTAGAGATAGATTATTTTAAGCTGCCATATGTCAAAAATAATTAAAATATTAAAAAGCTTGTTATATTTAATCTCTTATCATCATTCATAACTACTCTACCAAAAGTCCTTTGATATGTTAATCAGATATTCATCAGATGCATGTTAAGCACGAAACAGAAAAGTTACTATGTAAATTCTGAAGGAATACTCGGAATTTACTATGTATATTTCTCCTAAGTTGTATCTAGCCCTGTGCCTCTACAGATACACAGAATTCCTATTGCATAGTTTGGACTTTGCTAAACAGATAACCCATCTATCTCACCATAACTCATAAAACAGTTATCAGCTGTGCTGGAAATCTTGAAGAAAACAATTAAAACTACGTTCATAGCACAATCGACATTAAAAAAATTACTTCTGATTGACTGATCAAATCCAACACTAACCTGTCCATTGCTGGTCACAACTGTGTTGTCAAACAAGAAATAGGCACCAAAGAAAAATACCACAGCATCAAACACTCCTAGGAATGTCCAATAAATAAATGCACGCCAGCGCAGCAAAGCATTCTTGGCAACATCTCTGTGTAAAATAAGATACACACATTCATTATCTGCATGTTCAAAAATCCTAGAAAAATGATGTCACTCATACTGGGTTTTTTGAATGAAAAACAATTAAGAGATTACATGTATAACCACTACATTTCCACAAGACAACTGTCTACCATTTCACATCCAAATCCTTCCTGAACGTCTCCTCTTTCTTTTTTTTTAATGTAATTTTTACTAAATCCTTTTAACTGCTGCCTGTAATTCTGCTTACTTCAACTGTATGGTAAATTCCCCTGTGCTGCACCCATTTACTTTTCAATCTTTTTACAGAAGGTATCTGTTTTCCAGTATTTGCTGCGCATGTGATGATCCACTGTAGATTTTAAATGGAAACACTAGAGGTCTCTGGAGACTTTGCTTTATTTCCCATGGGGCACTTTTATACAGAATATTGTAACAAAGCAAAATATTCATTTTATGTGGAACATGCGAAACAAGGATTTTGCAGTTGAGTTGATGCTTCAGGTCAAATTGGATTTCTTGAATGCTTTCCCACAAAAAATACAGGGATTGGTCAACAATAGAACTGTTCACTAGCATACATTTTCTTATTACAGAAAAATTTAAATATTACAACTTTAGTTCTTGCCCACAGAAAGAATATATATCAACTTGGCGTATAGCATAAGCCACATCAGAATAAATCAGAACACAGTTAAATGAAAACCCTGAACTACAGAAACATTTACTACCAACGAATACTTTTACCATATGGACTTTAAGACTGTCTGATGACCATATGAAGTCATTTCTCCCTGCAGATTACCAATATACAGTGCAAAACCATATGTGGCTAACAATAGCCTCATCTGGCCCAGAATAACTGCACTCTTGCCCAAAGCAGCTTAGCGATAGACTCTGTTACATATCAAAACCCAAATATTTTTGGGCAAATAACCTCTGCTATCTTTCAAAAACCAAAAAGATCTTTTGAATGACCATTTCTAAACCAAAAACATTTATAATATAGAAAAGAAAAAAAAACGGGGGCTGTCGAGGCTGAGTTTCAACAGTAATATCTTGTATTCCTTTTCAATTTCAGAGGTAAAAACATATCATTGCATTGATTAACCTTTGGGCATCTAATATTACTCTCAAAAAAATGTTTTCCCTTGGATTATCTACTGCTACCACTCTCTAAAACATACTAGTTTTGCAGCTACAAGAATCAAAACTGGGCACTGTTCCTAATTTAGATGGCCACATGCAGTTAATTGGCAAGAACTGCATTTCAAGTGGCTAAGAATCTAAACCAGTCACAATTTAAATGTACAGAAGTGAGTCAACAATACGCAGAGGACAATGTTGGATACCACACAGAATACATCCTATGATACAACGCTCTACCACTTAGTCCTCTTTTCTTGCAGAATAAAACATGTATATAGAAGAAACAGTATGTTTTCTCTTTTTAGAATACTTCTGTTCCCCACGGCTGGAGAAAACAGAGTACTAAAATAAATCGTATTTAGATTTGTAGAACAGTAATTTCTATTTTGCTCTTGCTCACTAATGTAGCAAATGAATGGTGTGGACTGCAATATGTAAATATACATGCAAAAATACACATGTATCTATTGTAGTTATAGACTGCGCATGTGGTCTTCAACCCTTCTGTTGCAGTGTATGTGATGTTCTACTGCAACCTTGTACAGAAATCCTGAGGATTTTGGTTATAACAGAGATAGATCCCACAATTGAACTTTGGGGCATAATGTATTAATTTTACCTGTATAGGGAAGGCTCTCTCTTGAGTGTGTCTGCACTGACATGTTGTTCCATTAGACCGTACAAGAGGATAGGAAGGGAAGTGAAGCTGATATTGTACAGTGTTAGATACGCAGTATCGTATAAAGTCTGTAGATGGAAAAGAATTAAATCAGCTAGTTTTCATTTTGAAACATGATCCACTGCATGACACTTGATTTACAACAAATGAGTCAACTTCTTCAGAAAAAACAAAACTATTTCCCTTCACAATGGAGGCAAATATCCTTGAACAGCTGCTAACCGATATAAGACACAACTCTGCACTTGTACCCCATTCATCTGGAGGACAAAAGATCAACTAAAATATTGATTTAATAGTCTGGTCCACATACCGGCCCCTCCTATTGTTTCAACTGTAAGAGCAACTCCAAACTACCCAAACTGAGCAACAGCAGATTCCTGTAGAAGCAGAAATTCCTCACTGGCACATCCACCCCCCTTTTATCTCCTCCACGTCTATATAACATGGAGACATGCAGGGAGGAAGGGCGAGTGCTCCAGAGGTTCTTCAGCCGTAGGTGACTGCAACAAGCTGTACAAAGAAACACCCCAACATGTCTTTGATTCTTCTTCCCGCTGAACTACAACTACTCTTCCATGTATGTATCATCACTGTAACTAGCCCTCAAACTTACCACACTGCCCCATAAAGAGTTATTTCCCAAAACCTATTTGGTGATCATTTATGCCGTAAAAATTGCTGGCAAACCCCCCTTTCTGATTCAGAGCTACATTTAGCACTTAAAAGAACAGGAAATTAAACTAAATTTTCATCAACACATGCTTTCATATCTAAATCCTAATAATGCTTGACAAAAACCTACAAAGTTTTTAGTGATCATTTGAAATTAAAAGCAAAACAGATGAAAAATATAGTTCTGTCATTTTTACTCCTCCTGGAGCTTTCTTTTGAGACATTCCACAAATTCAAAGCAACAGTACTATTTTCTCCCAATTAAATCCTCCTCTTGTCCAATTTAATCCTGAAAACATTCCTTTGGTTTTTGCTCCCTCATTCAGAAGAAAGAAGAGGCAGATTTTTTCTGCACAAATTAGATGACAGCAAGGGTGAGAAGTAAATAAACAAAATTTTAGAAAGGAGAATACTGGATCATCTCCTGAATGATGGCACTTTTCTGGCAAGCAGCAGCTCACTTTTCCTCTATCTTTCTGTGTTTATTTTTTCTTTTCAACTAACTGAATGCCACTATTTGTCTGAAGTTTGCAATTCATACTGTACATGCCGGAGAAAACTAGTTTATTCTTCCATTTTCATTCCAAATTCTAAAAATGAATAACTAGTTCAATTACTTATCTTTCAAGATTGCCTCTGTCCACATGCAATAAGCTTAAACGTAACAGACTCCACATTTCCCACAGACATTTCACTTTGCATTGCCATTTCCAAATTTTGGTTTCCTGTATTCTTTGACTTTGAAATAACATTGCTTTTATGATAATTCACAAAATTGCTTTCTGTAACTTAACTGCAGTTGCCACTGAAAACCATATGAACCAAAAAGTGATGCTCTTTTTACAATGTGTAAACTAACCTAGAAATTTTCTCAGCTGAACAGGCACAGTGTTAAAGGATCCATTTTTTACAAAAAATGCCTGTCCTGATTTTGGCTGGGATAGAATTAATTTTCTTTCTAGTAGCTGGTATAGTGTTATGTTTCAGATTTAGTATGAGAATGATGTTGATAACACACTGATGTTTTCAGTTGTTGCTCAGTAATGTTTAGACCAAGTCAAGGATTTTTCAGCTTCTGATGCCCAGCCAGCGAGAAGGCTGGAGGGGCACAGGGAGTTGGGAGGGGACACAGCTAGGACAGCTGACCCAAACTGGCCAAAGGGGTATTCCATACTGTGTGACGTCATGCCCAGTATATAAACTGGGGGGAGTTGGCCAGGGGGGATCGTTGCTTGGGAACTAACTGGGCATCAGTCAGCGAGTGATGAGCAACTGCATTGTGCATCACTCGTTTTGTATATTCTAATCCTTTTATTATCATTGTCATATTATTATTATTATCATGATCGTCACCATTGTTTTCTTCCTTACTGTCCCATTAAACTGGCTTTATCTCAACCCATGAGTTGGCTTTTTTTTCCCAACTCTCTCCCCCGTCCCACTGGGTGGGGAGGAGTGAGCAAGCAGCTGCGTGGTGCGTAGCTGCCAGCTGGGATTAAACCACAACAATGCCAAAGAGAAAACCTTGCAGTGAGGAAAAAAGAACAACTAACCTGTTGTGAAAACCCACAGAAGAACTGATATAAAAACTGAGGAAAAATGAAGCAGACATTCTGAAAGACAAAGTGACACAGTTGTCAAGTGAAATACAAGCTCTAATTCATATGCTGTACAACACTAAAGCTACGTATAATCAGTTTTACAACACTAGTCATAGTAAACATTGCAGGAACAGGAGAAAGAGCTACATACATTAAACATAAACATTCTCATCTTACAGTAGCACTGTTAAGAAAAATACTGAAAATATTTTGAAAGCAAACTTATAAGGCTATAGTTGCAAAATTCAAGGGCAATGAATTTTGCGATCCAGGAGTACAGATCAGTTAAGGCAAGGCAAATTAGGTACAATCCACAACAGGACACGAACTGCGATAAGCAAGCATGGATACTTTGGTTAGCATGGTTCCCAGCAAAGTAACTTCAAGATGTTTTTAGCTGTGACCCCAAACTTCATCCTCTTCTAATTATGAATATAGTCAACCACTGAGACTTGAATTATCTTCTGAAGGTTCCTTTCTATAATCTTCCCTTGCTTACTGAAAGAACTTTGGATCCCAACATATAGACATAACAAAATCATCTAAACAGGGGGATGCACATTATAAACTTTCTCCATCTACACTATCCTAATGAATTTAGAAACTAATGTGAATTAAGTTATGCTAACTTCTCAAATACTATTTCCAACTTGATGTAACAGGCCACTGTAGAGAGAACCCAGAAGGTACTGAAAATAAGTAGAACGGTCTGTGATGAGATATAAGACAAGAAAAAAAAAAAAGACAAGGCAGATTTTGCTTTTAAACATACCATAGATTACAGAACATATCTATATAAAAGCTATTTCACTTCATGGCCTGGATAAAAACAATAATCCCATTTCAGCTTTACATCTGGCACTCAACAAAATCTCTTTATGGAATTATTGCTTTTTTATACCATTGACTATGCTAACTATAGTTAGATATTACCATGTTAAGTTCTTGAGATTTATGTAATTAGAATAAGCATTCTCCTACCTTATAAAAGAAGTATTGCACAAGTTCAGATATCCTAACATAATAAAAATGCCCATGAACAAGCAACATTTTTTTCAAATGTTTAAATTTAGGTATTGCATAGTCACTGTTTCTTGCTGCTTGACGACCTTCTTTGCCAATGATTCCTTTAAAAAAAAGTGATGAAGCTGTTTAATAACTGAAGAACTATTTCAAAGATACAATTATTTGAAAAAATATATAATAATGCTATAACATTGATCTAATAAGAGATCACCGCTGTATCTCAAAATTTCCAGGGTAAATTCACTAGAAGTTGTCTATAAAAAGTATAACCTGATTCTTTGAGACTGCCTGTTTTTAAGAAGTAAATGTTTCTTGTCATTTCACTTGAATTAATATTCTAAAAAGCACACTTACCTATACCAACATGTGCTTCTAGAATCATACTGACATCATTTGCTCCATCACCAATTGCTAATGTGATAGGATGCTCCTTTGATAACTTAATCAATTTTACAATCTGGAAAAAAATAGTGTTAAAAAACTCTTCTCTGTAATGGTTTGCTTATTTTGCATGAGTGTACGATTAATTAAAAAAGACTAACGCAGTTATATAAGAAATTCTGTGAAGGGACAAAAAACCAGTATTACCCAATGCAACTATGATACATAAAGATCACAGCAGTTTCTTCATACTAAAAGTATTTGTTCCAAATATAAAATAACACTTTTCAAATACTTCCAAACTATTTTGAGAGAGATGGACAGAAGGAAGGAAAAGCAGAAGAAAGGATGATGTTGAGATTGCTTAATGCTGTGTAAGTGCATTAATAAATTAAAAGGGTTCCAGAGACAAAGAGTACAATTTCAAAGAAATCCTGAAACTAAAGACTGAAAGATTCTGCTTTCTTAACTGTGCTGAATTTTTTTCATACTATTTAAGATAATAGGACTCTGTATAGGTTTAAACACTAGTGCCATAGAAACTGTCCAAAAATTTGACTTCAAATCTGTCCATTATAAATGAACACCTCTGTAAATTTGGTACCAAGTCAGCTGTAACTAAAAACTTCCAGACAGTTAAAACCGCTGGCTAAATACATTTGTTAAAATTAATAAGGGCTACATATGCTGTACCTGAGCACTGAGGAAAAGACATGACAGTTTGAAAGGAAAAAAGAAGTGTATGTTCCAATGTTTGTTTCCTTGAAAAGTTCCTCAGCTATATTTAGATGTTTCAGTAATGAAAGGATATGTTTTTACTTGATACAAACTAGTATAAAACAGTCAAGAAGTACTTAAACATGATAATGCACACATTTTTCTGTCTGGATTCTTCTTTCTTGGCTTCCCACTTGCGTTAAAAATAGAGAAGAAATATCACTCTACAGTAATAAATAATGCAGGTTCTTGTAGGATCAACAGATAGTAGACTATTCAAAGCTTGTTAGGTTAAAAAGGAAGCAATTAGTTCAGTTCATTAAATATATTCATTTATCAGTATGTACCAACCATAAAATTTGCACAATATATACATAAATCAAATTCAGGTGCACAGCTGGGTGCCATTTCAGCATACCATTATCTAAATTGCTTGCCAGTAGAAATTCTCCCCTCTCCCTTTTTTTTTTTGCTTTTTACATTTTAGTGGATACAAAGATACAAAAGTGAATGGTAACATTTTAAGTTATTATGATAGTCATACAGAGTATTAACTTTCAATATTTACATATGTGCACAGCTAACAAGCAATTATGAAATGAAATACAAACCTGTGCTTTTTGCAGAGGTGCCATTCGACAGCATAACACTGCACTGCAGTTCCTGCAAATTTCAAGAAAGAGCTCTCTGTAGTTAGCAGAGCTCCCATCTTGTCTTGGTTTCATTATTAATGATAATGCTGCTCCATCAATAATTAAACCATAATCTTGCATATCAGTTGAAAGTCTGTTCAGGGATAAAATATAAACTAAGAGTCACTGTAAAATTCTCAGACATACTTTAAATCTGGCAATAGTTCTTTTGTGAGAATTAATTAATGAAAAGATGATGAGTATGGAATACTGCAAAATTAATATACTTCTAAAGGAAATTCCTTGTATAGGACTGCTATTTATGACATTTTGAAATTTTAGATTATGTTAAAAATATTCAGTGCTTCACCATTTCTAAGACAGAAATCTGATACCTCAATGACTTCACCAGTGAGTATGAGTGTATAATTAATGACCTTTCAGTGTGGTTTGAAAGGGCTCCAAGAACTGCAGTGAGGTAAACTGTGTTGCAGGAATAAAGTTAATTTTGTGGCACATCCCATAATATAGAGGAAAAAAGTTACAGGGAAAAGCCTTTGGTACTCTGAAATGTACTTCGATGAGGAAAATAATCTTTTTTTTCCAAGGGTCTACATGTAAAGAAGTAAATCATGCTTTGAAGGAAATGCCTAAAAGAGACTTGTTGGCCCAGAGAGATAAGGCTACTGTCTACATTTACAGTATGTATACTTTGCGTTTAGCGTGGCGGCTAAGTCCAATACAGGCATACCTGTAATTATAATATTAAAATATAATAATTATATGTGTTATCTATAATATTACAATATATTGTTTTATATATTAATCTATGATGGGTATCCTGTAATAATCTGGGCATTGCTAGAAGTGTAACCGTGGTCACATGAAGCACACTTTACCAGAGTAACACATGGCGAGCCATGGGGGAAGATGGTCCGCGCTGCAAGAGCGGTTTGCCGTGGCATCCAAACTAGTTATTTCAGAGCACCCTTGCATTTATTTGCCTGAATTACACAGCAGCCTCAGGCTCCAGCTCAGCAGTGAGTGTTGGTTAAACATACGTTGCGGTTTATTTGTGCTTTAGTTTCAGTGTTTCAAGGTTATACTACTGGGCGTGGGTTTTCAACAAACATGGTTTCACCAGGACCCATGGTTGTGAGGAAAACATGGTATTTACTAATATTAATGTATTTTAAGCACTTCCCTCCATCTTCACTATTAGAACACAAGCTATATTTGACAAATAAAGTACCATAAACCATATTTAGTATTTAGTTCACAGATATTTTCAGCACTTTGTTACCATTGGCACAAATAGGGCAACACCATTAGTATACAATGATATCAACCAAAAATGTACAACGTTCAGGCAATGTACTGCATGTTTGACATATTATAGTGAAAGATTTTCAGCCTGAATTTGAACATCCAGGCAGAATACTGCTATTACTATCTTAGCACATTCTCCAACTCTGGAGCCAAAGACAAAAAATTCTAATGAGTCTCAATGTCTAGAAAATTGGCATTGCACAAAAAGTTAAAGAAACATGTTTAAACATACCCTGTAAGACCTGTGGGACTTAAGCTAAATGTGGTACAGAGAACAGAGAAATATGATTTATTTAACTGAATATACAAGTGTTCTTGATTAGACCAATGGGGCTTAGAGTGTAAGAAGAGCTACAAAAAATGCTCTGGCCCAGAGTTTCAAGCTGTAAGGCTAAAAATTATAGAAACTCTCTGCTAAAATAATATGACAAATGCTTGTTAGCTTGTTGTTCCTGTACTGCAAACTTATTATAAAAGCATATAAAATGTACTTGCTAGCTGGTTCCATATTAAAAAGAAAAACAAATCAAATATGCACCATTATGTCCAGAAGACTAGTAACTTTTTTAACATCTTAAGATGATAAAGATATTTAGAATCCAATCCTTGGGTTTTTACAGTGGAAAAAAGAGCAAGTAATGTGTACCAGCTATGAAGCTTCAAATAAGTAGCCTAATTTACTACCCGTATGAAGCATAATATACATTTTACCAGTTTTTTGCTTTTTAATGCCATTTTCTATCTTATTCCATGTTATGTTTCACTTCTGTACACGTGATACCTATCCTTCTATGCATATTGCAAATACACAGAAGTCAATGATTTCTTCATAATTTAGGGTACTTTAAGTATTTTTACACACACCAGAAGATTTGGTGGTACACTGTTGCCTGTCACCTGTCTGTAAATGTAGCACAATCTTCCCTAGAAAAAGGGCCATATATAGTTGCTCTCTGTGGCCTTAGTCTTATCAAGAAAGTCACATCACGTACTAACTCTGATTACAGGAATATATCATATCTGTTTTCTTTTTGAAAATTAGAAACAGTATTTTGCTTGACAATCATTTTTCCAAGAATAAATATTTTTGCAGTGGAAAAATATAGAACTACAATGTCAGCTGTGGTTTTTTCTTTTAACAGCTAAAGCAGTACCAGAAATGAGATAAAGAACCATGACTGTGAAAATTTAAACTTATATGGAACAAACATACTTAATTGCCTTACAGTAATTCACACTTGAACAACAGAAACTGAAACATAGTATGTTGCTGCTCTTAAGGTAATCAATCAATCATTTAACTGTTTATGAAATGCAGAGAAGACCATTCCTGGCTTGAAAATTCAACTTTTTCCTTACCCTGAGAAAGTATCCCTGGTTAAGCTGCCATTGTGTCTTAGGACAGTTTTGCTTAGGTCAAAAAGCACATCGTGTAAACTCTGTTCCTCAATTTTCTTTGTGGTTAGCTCAAGTATTTGTGTATTTCTCCGGAAGAGTTTGCAAGCATAGCAAGTAGCTGCAGCAGTCTCCATTTTGTCTCCCGTCAGAACCCAAACTTTAATTCCAGCTTTCTGGAGTGCTTCAATAGTGTCAGCAGCCTTTTCTTGTAGTCTGTGGAAGTCAATTGACAACATACATTGATAGATTGCTTGAGAGGTCCTTACTGAAAGGTTTCCATAACCAGATAAAAAATTTCAATAAAAGTTATCAGATCTAAGAATTTTCCTCAAGGTGTGAATCTAAAAATGTTTATGGGAGTAGTACATTATAAATAATTAGTTTTGACACTTTCAAAGTGCTCAAAGGCTCACCTTCCATTTATATAGCCTAAAAGACAAGATGCTTCATTCCCCAGACAAGTACTTCAGTTAAAACATTCTCAGTGCTTTCAGCTAATGACATCAAACAGTGAAGTACTGCTGAGTTAAAGTTACCTCCCAGTTTAAACAGACAGTTTTTGAATTTTAAGACCTAAAGATTCTTCCTTCATTTACTCAATACCCTTTTTGTAGTTCTTTCCTCCAAAACTTTTTCCTACAATTTGTTCCATAAGGTATTACATAAACTGCATGTAAATGGCTTGAATATACTGATTTTTGCACACTTAACTATTGTTACTAGCTTACTAAATTATAAAGTTACCATGTGTAACTTCAGTAAGCTAAGGGTATGGAATTGATTCAAATACAGTTTTTTTCAAATAAATCTCTAATCCAGAATAAAAGATACAAGAGAGTCTCCAACTACTTTGGTAACTTCACTAAACATAAGAAACGTACTAACCGATCTTCAACAGCTGTAGCACCAAGTAAAATAAAATCTCTTTCTATCTTCTCATACACTTCTGCCAGTTTCTTTTCCCGGTCCTGGAGGGCCAACTTTGCGTTCTGAAGCAGCTTCTGCGCATTGCTATATTCTTCTGCTGTGAGCTTTTTATATGCAACACACAACGTTCGCAGTCCCTCCTAAAGAATGCAATCAGAAGAAACAAAATTTCTCTTGGAAAACTCTTCTTAGACTTCTTGCTGGTGTTTACGCTGGAATATTTGAAAAATTGGAATGATCTTACTATTAACGTGAAGAGTCACACTACCCACTTCACTATAGAAGTGAGTATAGTATGGACTAGCAAAGTACAGTATAGACTAGAATGTGGGTCAGCTTGATTCTGTGCTGCCCTGGAAGCAGCTACAACCTGAGGGACAAACCTCAATCCTCCAGAAGAGAAACAGCTCAGTAACCCAACTGGATGTATAAGATTACCAGGGAAAGGAGAGTCAAGGTAAAGGTTTCCTTCACCATGTGTATAATTAGGCAGGATGAGTCAGAATAAATAACAATAATATAAATAGTAGCTCTGCAGAGTCTGATTTTGATGCTGTGTTGCAGCAGAGACAGGGACAAAATATCACAGAGTGTTGAAAGTGAAAATCCAACTGTGCCATTTCAGTCAAGTGAAAACTAGAATTTAGCTGTGGGTGTTTCTGACGGGATCAGACTTTTGGACTGTGTGATGAGTAAGAAACAGGGTACGTAGACTGTGTAAGGCAGGACAAAGCTGTTATAACACAGAAGGGAAGTTTTGCCACCTCAAATATATTGCCTCTCACATATACATTTAATTGGCACTTAATCTTCATAAACTTTAACCCAACGGGTCTTTGTATAGTTACTTATTACCAACCCAAGAAGGAAACTATTTAAAAGCTCCCTGACTCTTGCTATTGATAAAGGTAGGTGCCAGGTGGCTGCCTGTATCTTCTTTCAGAAGCTTCTGTATGGAGGAGCCAGCCCTATTTCCAATTGTCCAGGATCTAAAAATAGCTGTTGGTGTGGATTTCTCTCTTGACAGGCATTAGATGGATATGATATGCAAACACTCCTTTTGGTTTCACTAGCCTCCTTCAGTTGTAATTATCAGACAGCTGTTTCACATAGTAAAGCTTAGCAAAGCACTTTGGCAAAGACTTTTGAAGTTTCCCTTCAAAACAAAAGCAGATAACACTGTAGGTATTTTTTCACATACCTGTAATACTTTGTTTTCAGTTTGAGTACTGGATGCTAGCAAATTTTATCCTATTTATAAGGCTGGCAGTCATACTCCATTGCAATGGGTTCTGCATGTTTTTGGACACAGCAAAACTCAGTATTTTACAACTCCAAATACTATATTTTAGGTAAAACCAAGTTCTGAATTTTTTTAAAGGTCATCAGGGTGTTCATAGCTCATTTTTAGCACGTAAAAATATAAGCATGATCACTGCACTGTTTCCCCATAAGAAATGCATTTGTTGCTACACTGTGCTCTAATGGATTTTCTCTTTTAAGAGCTTTAAAGCAATCAAAGGCGGCAAATCACAATTGCTAAGACTGGGGTCTGAAAGCAGGGATGAGATTTTTGTGAAGTTTTTCACTCTTCTTTCATTCAAAAGTTAATTCAAACCACCACAGTGCCATACTAAAAAGCTAATTGATGACCTCTGGTATAACATACAGCTGTGCATGCACCCATATCTCACCACAACTGGCATTTGGAAGATGAGACGGAGGACAGGCTCAAACAAGGGAGTAACACAGACTGCTACCCATACAGCCTGCGTGCACTTTGGCATACAATAAACTCGGTGCCTGGGAAGACAATCTGTTACCAGATGAAGCAGGAGATCAGAACACTTGGGTTTTTTCGACACTGATATCACATGAACAGATCAATAAAATGGAATCTTACCACTGCGTTGCGTTCAACTCTGGATCGTATTTGGTCAATTTTGCCTTCTTTGACTCTAGGAAATATGGAAGAATCTGCTCCCTTACAAAACAGAAATATATCACCTAAAAGAGACAGCATAAGGAATTCAAAATGGCCAAATATATCTTTCTTTAAAAAAAGATCCAAATTACTAAGTCTTCAGAAAGATTTCTTTCAACTTTTTAATAACATTTGCACTCATGCTGGTACCTGGTCCCCTTTTTTATAAAGAAAGGCACACAGACTGTGATTAATGCTTAAACATCTAAGAAGAAACAGAATGTGACAGCCCTACCTGTTGAAGATTTAACAATTACACTCATTCGCCGTCTCACAGAATCAAAACTCAAAACCTCTAATAATTCAAACCTGAAACAGAAACAGAATATTTTTTAAACAACTCAGCTCTTCCAGATCCCTAAACTAGTTATTACAACTTCAAGCCTATCAATTACAACATGACTGCTAACATGGAAAATTATGTTGAGTACTATGGAATATGGAACTAGTACAGAATGAAACAGCAGGTTACAAATAATAAATAGCAGAGGCCCTCGGCTCCTAATTACTTAAACCAGAATTTGTCTGCATGATATTTATAATTTTCTTTGGATGCATAGTCAATGTAACTTACTTAAGACTAGAAACCTTGCAGTAGAGCACTGTACTGCTGCCAAAGTAAATTCCTACCTATAATACCTAGGCATAGCCTTAGAACTTGAAATGCATAGGTGTTTACACAAAAGTCATTATTTAATATTTTTCTAATTTTGAATATTCCTATCTCCCAAAAGTGCCCACCCAATTTCATGAACCTTGCTCAAGTGTGAACTGACAAGTTATTCAAGTGAAAAAACATTTCTTTTTACTGGTTTTATATTTACCATTGATTTTATGATTTGATTTTCTCCCATGTTCCTTTCCTTTCTAGGAGGAAAAATGAACACAAGCTCCCGTTGTACTGTTTCTGTGTAATTCATCAGTTTATATACTTTTATCATTTACTCTCTTACTTATTTTCTTTCATTTAAGAGAGCCCCCCTTTTTCCAGCACAAACATAAGCATCCCAATCATTAATCCCAATCTCTTCAGTTCACCTCTGTTAATATTTTCCTTGTAAAATAGATCTGCTTATTTAATTAGATCATTCAGTTCCAAGTCCTTGAGCCTGGGATTCAAACCTGTGCAAGGCCACAGTGTTCATTTACAACAGAGTCTAACAAGGAGCTGGATCGGGCCTATGTCTACGAACTGTGATGCATTTTTGAAAAAATTCCTAAATAATTATAGTGTTTTCATAAATCATCAAATTATATTGACTCCAGTTCTTAGGAGTTGAGCCACAAAAGTCTGAAGTAACCTTCAGGAAAAATCCTCCACGTTCCCCTAAAAGGGGGAAAAATAACAGCAGAGTTCCTATATTTGTGTCCAAGAGTCCCTGTGTAGTTAGCAGAGCACACATGCAGGAAGACACAGATATACAATATCCTTAACCAGCACACAGCTACAGAAGTGTAAGGCAACATTTTCAAAAGTATGTAGATCCCATTAAACAGCTGTACTACTTAAATGTTATCGAAAATTTTACTCAAATTATGGTTTACAAAATTTATTCTACATGTCAAAGGAAAATGACAAAAAACAGTACCTGTTTTAAATTTTCTTTGAACCAGGTATAAAAATTTATTCTATAGATATTACCTTCCAGTAAATTATAAGGATTATTTGTGAAGAACAAATGGGGTACATACCGTTTTCTGTTAAGAAAATATTATTTACAATACAACAAAGGAAAAATACCCACAGTCCCGAAAATTATTAGGAACTATTAAATTAGGTCATGAACCCCACACCACATCTTTGTTGTTATATTAATATTTCATATTGCATATACTATCAAACTAACAGACTAAGTGAAAATATAGAACTTACAAATATTAGCACATCATTTATTTTTCTACTAAAATGTACCATTTCTGACTTTTCTGAATTAAAAATTAATGTATAGAGAAAGAATGATTTATTAAACACATCAGGAAAAACTCCTCATCAGTCTATTTTGTTATATTTTTAACCACTCACTTCTCTAAGTTATTTTCCCGATTTAAGATCTCCATAAAATTGTCCTTCAGCCTTAGATAGGTGTAACCAAGTCTGTAAGATGAAACACACATCAAGAGAATGAATACAACAATTACGTAATTATCCAGTTTAAGCATATCATAAGGATTTAAGACTAAGCTTATCTCCTGGAAAAAAACAAACAACAAAAAAACCAAACTGTTTTTATTTAATTTATAAATATGAATAATCATGACTGTATGTTAAGAAAATCATCAGCTCTAGATGATTTAGTGTTTCTTATTATGATTTTTGTGCTGAAAACAATTTTGAACTTCAGTGATTAGATCTCTAGATTAAAAAAGTGTAATACCTGATTACACACATACCTCTGTATTCCCTCAACTAAAGCAACTTCATCAGGTGATGATGAAATATATATACAAGATCTTCTTGAGAGCTGGTTTTTCTTCAATCCATCTACACTGTCATCATCTTTTACCTGAACAGTGTGGCAAAGACAAAGAGCTCGGAAAAATAGTTCCTCTCTCTCCTAAAAAATAAAAGGAATGGTTGTCATTATGTGTGATCACTTAAGTATTTCTTTGCTAACCTTCCGAAAGAAAAGTTTTCCATGTCACTGATTACTACCATTTACGATGAGATAAAGGCAGTGTCACAGGTCACCTGCCCTTTAGGGGGAGCCCAGTCTTTCCCAGTGGTAACCACACAACTGCTCAACAGCTGCCAGTGCTACTAGCATTGCCATGCAAGTCACACTGCTGACGCCCCAAAAAAGTGTGCATCTTTTGCCTCTTCTGAATGCCTAGATGTGGCTAAAGGTTTTTTTTTTCCTTTACTTTTGCTTAAACTTGAACAACCTGTATTAAATACTAGTCGAGGTACAATTTTAGGAGTTCTGAGTCCCTAAAGAGGGACACAGCACCTGGAGCACAAGTGTTAACAGGCTTTACAGATTTCAATTACTCACGCAGCTTGAACACCTCTCAGAGCTATGTAAAATAAAAGGAGCATGGACACTGTGGCAGCTGGAGCCAAGAACTTCTATAAAGTTTCAGATGGCTTGGTATGGTCCAAGTAGGAGATTGTATTGATGTACTTAAATATATTGTCCTTTGGCCATGATTATCCTGCCCATTTACACCCCGCTCATCAGTTGACATGTGAAGTCTCCTTAACTTTCAACTTTGCTTCACACAGCAAGAAAGCCACAGCACATACATGCTGTGTGTAGCACATTTCAGATGTGGCTATATTAAGTCACATTTAAAAGTAATTTAATTTGATCATAAACCATTCTCTGGCTGCATCTTCACTCAGTGATGACTAAGTAAGTGTTTGCACTGAGCACTCATTTTCCCCCTTGAGGAGTTTCCTGCCTTGTCTTCCCTACTGTAGCTAATGTTAAATGGAAACCAGCTATTACGTTTCTTCAGCTATTAACCAGAAAAAGTTCTGTATTTTGGGGAGTTTATTTAATTCAGTTTTACAGCTGCAGTAGGTTGGGAAACTTTGTATTAAGCCCTTAAATCTTACTCTAAACTAGGAAAGGACAATGTCTGTGTTGTGATGCGTTTCATGCAGTTATCTACTTTGATTAGTGAAGTTCAAGGATATTTCTAATATTGCCTTCATCAACACAGTTCACTTTTTATGTTTCATTGTAAAAAAAGAAGAACCTAGAAGGAGTCATCACACCTTTCCACTTCCTCCAGGAGAAGAATCAATCATATCAATGCCCGTACAGTCGTGGAGAATTTGGCCATTGCAGATAACATGTGGTACATAAACATGCCCTTCAATGCAACATTCTACGAATTCCATGTTGTTCTCAGTTAACGTTCCTGTTTTATCTGTGAAGACATACTCAATCTGCAAATGAGCACAAATTAAAAACAGCAGGAATATGAACAGAGATTTTCCAAGGTCTCTTAACAAAACTAAGACTATTACTGGGTTACAACTTCCTTTAAACATTCTTATGCAGGCTCTTTCAGAAAAGGAAGAGAACAATTTTCTCTTTGGAGTCATCTTTCGTGCTAAAGGTGGGACCCAAAAAATTTTATCATACAAGAGTATCAGGAAAGCTGTCTTTTGCCTCATAAAACATAAAAATAATGTGTTTAACCTACTTTCAGTCTTCCCTCAAGCTTCTTTTTGGTTTTTAATGTCTTTCTTGCTGCAAGACAGACATTTATGGCAACAAAATGCACACAAATTCCATTTCCCAGGGATCATTATTTAATGTACATGCTTGGACTTGGATCGGTTACTGTCAGAATGGTCTTTAGGGTATCATCACATTTCCCCACTACAATTACGTTAGTTTAAATGAGGATTCTGGAGTAATGGTCATATACAGTTATACACATGGGCACTGTTATTGCCCTGGTAACATTCCTTTTGTCTCAATATTGACTTTTTCATTAATTTTATCTTCTACAATGAGCCCCAGCATGTAAGGATAACAACATCAAAAACAATACCAAAACCTGAACTATAAACCAGAACAGCCAGATGGGTACAAGCTCAATTTTGAATATTGGATATAGGTATTGTATACAGATTGCATGCATATATTTGATAAACTGAGAGCATTATGTAAGGTTAGGAATTAAGCACTGGAAGTAAGGCAATTATTTAGCATTCGTCAGATTGTTTAACAAACTTCAAAGTTTATCAAGGGCATCAAACAAAATTAAAAAAACAAACAAACAGATTTTTGTTCTCAGTCATAAGAGAAGTTATTAAATATGTGAACTTTCCTCCTAGACTGACTTTTCTAATATTCATTAATCTGAAAAGGCAAGTTTCCGAATTTTCCAGTGGTTTGTTATCTGTGGACACAATGCCTGTATTCAACTTTTTTCAAAGTGGGCAGGATTTATATTGATTTCTTTCATCTCAAGTCCTCCATTCAGTTTTGTAATACATTTATACAAGATACAAAATGCTATCAAGCAAAGGTCTTTTATTCATTCAGTGTGCTGCTTTGGGATCAATACCCGTTACATGAAAAAAGGAATAAAGTGTGACAGTGTTTGCTACAACCACAAATCAGGATTTGCAATCAAAGCCTTCATTAGAAATACAATGTATAGTATCTTTCAAAAAATGCAGAAGCAAAATTTAGTTCATTGGATTGATACTAGTAATGCCAAGTACTTATGAGGGTCCCATTCTAGGGACGACACAAATTTAGTAGCAGTAAGTTATTTTTCATAGCAGAATCACAGAACGGTTTAGGTTGGAGGGCACCTCTGGAGGTCATCTTGTCCCCCCACCCTGCTCAAGCAGGGCCACCAAGAACTGGTTGCCCAGGACCACGTCCAGACAGGTTTTGGTTATCTCTAAGGATGGGGACTCCACAGTCTGCCTGGGCAGCTCGGTCACCGTGACAGTAAAATAGTGCTTTCTGATGTTCAGACGGACCCTCCTGTTTCAGGCTGTGCCCGTTGGCTCTGGTCCTGCTACTGGACACCCCCAAAAAAAGCCTGGCTCCATCCTCTTTGCACCCTCCCTTCAGGTAGTTATATACATTGATAAGATCCTCCCTGAACCTGCCCTTCTCCAGGCCGGACAGTCCCAGCTCTCTCAGCCTGTCCTCACATGAGAGATGCTCCAGTCCCTTCGCCATCTTTGTGGCCCTTCACTGACCTCCCTCCAGAATGCCCATGTCTCTTGTACTGGGGAGCCCAGAACTGGACACAGTACTCCAGGTGTGGCCTCACCGGTGCAGAGTAGAGAAGGATCATCTCCCTTGACATGCCGGCAACACTCTGCTCGTGCAGACACACCATTCGCCGCCTTTGCCGTAAGGGCACGTTGCTGCCTCACGTTCAACTTGGTGTCCGGCAGGACCCCCATGTCCTTTTCTGCCAAGCCACTTTCCAGCTGGGTGGCCCCAGGGTACACCCTGCCTCGTCATCCAGATCACTAACGATCAGGACTGGACCCAGTATCGACCCCTGGTGTACACCACTAGTTACTGGCCTCCAACGAGACTTCGTGCTGCTGACCAACACCCTCTAAGCCTGGATGTTCAGCCAGTTTTCAATCCACCTCACTGCTCATCCAGCCCGTAATCCATCTGTTTCTCTACGAAGATGTCATGGGAGACAGTGCCGACTGTCTCCCATAATAATAAAATATTTGGTACCACCTTTTATCGAAATAGATATGTCCCCCGAAAAGCTTAATTACTAGTTTGGCTGCACAAAACCAAGGAAATACACCATCTTATTTATTTATTTGAAAACCTATGAAAATGTTTTTAATTCATAGAGATTATAATATTTTCTCAAAAAATATTCATGCTTATCTGTGTCAAGGTGACAATTTTCTTAACACAGAATACTAAAGATAGAATTTCTTCTGGAAAATGAGAGTGACAGTCAATCATTTTACTGCATGAAACATGTATCTGGAGATTTGGTGTCAGTCTAGCCAGACAAAAAAGGGTTTTTTTCCATCTGACTTTTACTCTAAGGAAATCAGATGCTTATATAACGTCCCTCTATAGTCAATGGAGAGAAATCATTAACTTCTTAAAGCATTTATCCTTTACTAATACAGTAATATGAATTGATTTCCACTGACTGGCTGAGAAATCAGAATTTTTTATTCTGAAAATCGAAGACCTCAAATCTTATTTTTAAAATTAATCAGCACTAAAGAAAATGCACACTAGTTGCAAAACAAAAGATTTGAAGTGACAATTTTAAAATTAAAAAATTACGGTAGAAACAGTTGAAATACTTATCATTTGATGAAATTTACCTGTCCCAACTCTTCATTGAGGTCAGAAGTATTCACCAGTGGTCCTTCACCCGTGTCCTCATCAAACATTTCCTCATCCCATGTAAGGAAATAAGAACCAAGAAATTTTTGCATTTCCACAGTGACATACATGGATACAGGAATAATGTAGTTGAAAAGAACCATGAATGCAAGGAAGTCTGTAAAAGCTCGAAGAAACTGCCAAAGAAACAAGAAGAAAATACTGATTTTTCACGTACCATCAAAAACCAAAAGATGACTACATACATTGGCAAGTTTGGTTTTTTCTAATAACTTTCAAACAGTAAGCAACACCTTTCACAGCTCACAGTTCAGCACAGGATGTATACCTTCATGATTTATAACATCACAACTAATTTGGCATGAAGAAAAAAGCTTTTTTGTTTTAACTTAGTATTTTTCTTTACAGACATACAAGTGTAGAATAAAGTTACACATCATTGTTGTAAAGTTCTAGAGCAATTAGTGAGAGTGCTTCCATATGAATGGTAAACACCTGTATGAGAACACAGAATACCATAAAATGTACATTCATAAATTACCAGAATACCATAAAACTACAGTAACTCATTCAAGGATTACCAAATTACATAACTTTCAGACAGTATTTCATTAATAAAGGTTCCCCTTTCTTCTCTCAATACAAGCAGAATGTGTACACATAACCCGGCTCCATTTTTTGACTGGTGGAGTCTGGTTGGAGGTACAGTCAACCTGCTGAGCAGGTTGAGAGAGTGTTACTGGCGGTAACGAGAAACCTGTAAACATGCCTGGCTAGCGTGTACTCATTGTGCATTTAGGATAAAGAAAGAAGTTCTCCCCTAGTCTGATTGGAAGGATTTAGTGAAATAATATTATGGTTTCTGTAGTGCTGGGTTCAGTTCATTACTTTGGACGATCTGGGTGTCCATTCTGGACTATGTCCTTGCTCCCATAACAACATGGGACACCGGCAACTCTGTTGCCGGTCTCTAGTGCTCATGACAGAGTTACAGGGCTATGTGAAACTAAGCTTTTGAGGGGTATTTTTACAGAGATTCTGACAGCAGATTATTTTGAACATGTCTGTTATATGATTGCCAATAGTTGTGAGACTCTTTTCAGTCCTATATTTCTCTGCAAGAGGTCAGTTCTTTAGTAATCCGCATCAATGACAGGAAACTCCAAAACACTTTCATGAGGCTTTTTATACTAAATCAGACATTTTCTCCTCAGTTACATTCACACATACAACTTAAGTGCAAAAATTTAATATACAAGCTTTCTATAAATATATTGCCACCACTGTTAACAAAAAAAGCAACAACTTATGACTGGTAAGCAAGCAGGCTGTATATGCTTTTCAGTAGGATTCTTATAAATCAAGAGTTTAGTGAAACTTTTTTGTTATTTTATTTGCATACCAGATTTCTTTTCCTTTCTGGCTCTGTTTTCTGATTATACCACGGCTCATCACGAAATGGTTCACTCTGCCAGACATACTTCAGGACAGTATTTATTAGTGCTTTACTGATGAGAATACAGAGGTATACAATAAGGAATACATTCATTGATCTAAGAAGAAAAAAAAGGCAAAATTAAAATTCCATTAGCATATAAACTACAGAGTTTATTAAAAAACGTTAGACTTCTGCTTCAGCCTAACGTTTGCTGCAAGTCTAACAATACTATGATGTAAAATAACTTCTCTACAGTGTTCTCCCAATGAAGAAAAACATTATCGAGGACCATTTTCTATTTCAAATGTTAACTGCTATAATTGTTTCCAAAATGTGTGTGACATATTACCAAACCTAGGATATTAATGAAAACAATAGCATAGATAGAATCATAACAGAATAACTAGGCTTGTATCTGAAGAACTTTTTATGCCATTTCCCTGAACCAATATAAAAACACTTACATAAGTACTACAGAAATATAAATCTATCGAGAACATTTTGCGATGTAGCTGTAATGGTTTAACTCCTTCTAGACAGATCTAAAAAAAAGAAAGAGCAAGAACACTCCACATTGAAAATTATATTTTCATTAATGATGGGCATGAACTAAAAGCCATGGGGTATACATCAATAACAACAGAGAGAGACACATCATCATTGCTCAGACACTGTGTAAGAGAAGGGCTGTCAGCTGGTCAGTACATCTTGCCTTAATCAATGACTTTTCTTTTTTTTTCCACAAGGTTGGACAACTTACTCAGAGCTGACGATTTCAGATAGCAGAGGACTAGAAAATAATCCTCTCTATTTTAAAAAAAGTAAGCAACCAATGTCAGCTCATCCCTTGAGGACAGCAGTGTCTTCCTTTCCCAATATATATGCCTATACAGAACTTTCAATTTTGGCTACATCATGGAAAACCTGCCCCAGACAGGCCTTGTGTTACTGCAGTTGATCCAAAGTGAAGTGCATCAAAATAATAATTTTTTTACTGAATCCAAGACTTACTTGCAGTGAAAAGGGAAGTTAGAAAATTGAAGCACATAATCATGGAAAACTGTCAGTAGGTGTACACAGACCAGTGAAAGAAAAGTGTTCCGGAACAACAAAACACATCATATTTTCAAAAGGTAAGCATTACATTAACGCGGCACTTTTTTAAACATTTAATAATAATTCAATATTGAGAATCTCATTTATATGGCGTTATATGACTCGTCTTATAAGTAAAAAATGATACACAAAAATACATCTTTTTAAATTTAAATCAATGAAACATACTTTTCTTAAAAAAACAAAACCAAAAAATAATCCACTTTTATTCACCATTCAAACATGCAGTTTTCCACCCCCCAAAAAAATATTAGAAATTTTACTTTTCTACAGCAGATCGCTTCTGTGATTTTGCCTGGTAATTTAATGCCATCTTAGTCTCCATGCCAGTGTAGATAGCAACACCTGAAATTAGACAACTTATTTTACTAAAGATTGCACGGTACAATAACTTAATGAAAGCACAATTCACCAGATTATTATAATCTGTATTTTCTTTAATTCTGTGTAGTCTGAAGAAAAAGAACAAAGATTTCGATGATACTCAGAAGCTAGAAATGGCTTTAATATCTTGGTTCTTAGAGGGAAATTTTAAGCAGGATTTACATCCCATTCCAGACTCACAGTTCCCAATTACTAACATGTTGCTATGTATCAAAGCCAAACCAAGGCTGGGTTTTGAATAAATCTCCTTGCATTTTAAGTTCTTCTTTTGGCTTTAATTTTAGAATCTAAGTCATACATTGAGAAAGCAAATCTGGATAGGGCTAAATTGCAGGATACATCCAAGAAGAAAAGGCAGTCATTGATTTTGCTTGCTTCGGGAAAATTTAATAATTCATGAAAAGAGTGATCTTTTGATATTAACAATTTCCTGTTGATAACACAGATTGAGAGACTAAACTTCAGAAGATTAAATAAAACAACAAAAAGAAGGTGTAAACAAGAAGATGGATTTAAAGCAGTTATCAAACCAGCACACCTGTACATTGCTAGAATAAAATACTTTAGGATATGCATTGTGCTGGGGTAATGGCAAACACTGTATGTGTTAGGCAGACTAGAAAAAACCACTCATATTAGGAATATCTCTGCCCGATACACAATTTAACTGAAATACTAAAACCATCCTCTGAAGTTTACAGAAATACTTACTACAAGCTAATTATATTAGTTCATCTATTTTAGATTACAATTAAAAGCAAAGAGAACAAGTTTAAATTAATAAATACTTTTGACACCCTTTTTGAAGAAAAAGTTGCAAGATTTTGGTATTTTAGGCTCAGTAGTTCATAGCTATCTATGATCTTCTTTCTTGGGAGTGCAGAAGTTGTGTATGATAGAAGATGACTTGGATCCTTGTCCCTTTTGTCACCAGCAAAGAGTGGCTTGTTACAATGGAACTACAACTCCCACTAGGCTTTCTTGAAGAATTTCTAAAAAAACCATATCTTAGTTTGTGCTTCCTATTTCTGCTAACATATTCAAAATTTTCCATGGAACGAAAACAATTCATACAAACAAAATACACTGGCTAGCAAAAAGTCTCATTTTGATCAGGAACTGTTTAAGTGGATTTTTTTTTAATTTTTTTTTTTTTTATGACCCATATTTATATCTGGTTGGGGTATGATTTGTTTGTTTGTTTGTTTTGACAAGTGAGCAAGACAGATTTAAAATTTTTCAACAGGCTCATTAACTCCTTTGGGACAACAACATTAATACACAGTGCTTGTTCAAAAGCCATGTATTTACATGAAGAAGTTGAGTCATCTTCACTTCATCTTTGAAGACTAAACTAAAAATTCCCTCTCCCAAAAATCTCTGTAGTTGGTGTACATCATTAATAGTTACATTACCGCACTTATAGCAACAGTAAACCTTATTAAAAAGTTGTAAATCTAGTTATTCAATAGAAATCATATGCTCAGTAGTAACTGTAGGGTTGTAACCCTGTTTGACATTTGCTTATTACTTCGGAGTCCATTTAAATAATCAATAGAAATACTTACCAAAGATTTTTTCTGTATTCTTTAAAGTGGCTCCTCTAAGAAGCAGATTTTCGGATCCTAATGGCCTGCAAAAGATAAGCATTACAAAATATAAAAAATATTAGGGAGAAACGGCAGACCTTAGTGGAAGCCACGTAAAAGAGGAAATTAATTTTAGTCAAATATTTTTATTTTGTGTACCAAAATTACTAGGCAGTATTTAAAGCTTTTAAGTGAAAATTAAAAAAATAGAGAGAGATGCCTAAAAGTAAGCTCATAATTTCACAATTCAAGTCTTAAACCAAATGCATCTAAAAATCACATATGTGGGTACCTAAATAAAAATTCATCATCCCAATTGTAAGATGCTTATTTTTAAAAATACTGATTCAAGTCTTTTTTAGGCTTATATAAACTATATGGCCTTGCATAGTAGAATTACTTACTAAGAACAATACGATCTTTCATTTTAAGTGGCATACAAGGTATTGTTTGATACTTGCTGTGTACATTTCAAAGCATAAAGATGAATATAGGTAAAATAATTTACTGAGGAGTAGGGGAATTAATGTAAGGATCCCCATGCAGTTTATAATAATATTTTGGAGTGTGATGTGTAATACAAATCATCATGTGAGCGCAAAATCAAGGACTACTGTATAGACAGACAGCATGCAGAATTGTCAGACTACCTATACAGCAATGGAAAAGAAACAAGAATTAAGTTCAGTATTTTTGAATGTTATTCAAAGTGTTCTTGTGGTATGACACCCCCCCCCCCCAAAATAAGGAAACCCTAAACGAACAAAAACCCCAGGACCGTAACTCTTGATGTAAAACTTGAAACTAGTTCCATTTAAACCAATGGAGTGATGCTATATGAATTATTTGGGTTATAGGACATCATACCCCAATATAGTAAAAAATACCAATTGCTCCGACAGTGCTGTCCAAGGCATACAAGTCTTAATGATACAGATTTTCTTCTCGTTCACAGTGTTATACACAGATCAATCTATTGCTGTTGAGACTGAAAAGGTATTTTCTGCTTATTTTCCTTTCCTCTCCCACCCAAGCCCATTTCCAACTGACTTTATTAGTCAAACGAATCTTTAAAGTGAAAGAAGCAAAAAAGACTGTCTTCACAGCAGACTGTAGCAATCAACTATTACATGATACATCACTCAATTTGGAAAAGACAGTAGGATCCTCAGGAAAGGATGCCTCCTCCCTGGAAGTAGGCAGCTGTCACTAGAACCCAATGCTCTGCCTGACCCTCTTCCCTGAGGGACCCCAGGAAGAATACAGACCAGGACTGCTGAGAGATGGTCACTCTGGATGGTGACAGAGATTTTTGCACTGCTTTGCAGTGCAGTTATACAGGTGTTTCCTGAGGGAGCTATGACAATGACACGCTCAGCAGCCGGATTTCCCCTCCTCTTTGCTTACCGAGATATAAAATTATGTATCTACAGACACATCGAGGTTAGGAAGGCACTTAGCCAGAATGGAGTCACTTCCCACATGCTGGGGTCTAGGGTATCACCCAAGTGAGAATTCTTTCCCTCCTACTGCTTTGCCTTTTTGTGGCAAGGACCTGAACAAAATCAGGTACAGCAAGTCTCTCCCTTGCTGGTAGACAGAAGATCCTAGGCAGAAAAGACAGGAAGACTCATGCCTCTTTCGTACTGCTTCAATTTTCTTCTCCATTTGCTGGACAAGGAACATCCTGGGCTACAGACTGCTCCTTGAGCAGAATGCACCGCACTCACTTCAGGATGAAACTTAGTGGCACAGGAGACGGACCCTTCTAGGCGCCAGACCCAGGGTAACAGATCGCCGACCCCTACACCACATACAAAATGCCTTTCCCTGAATGCTGCCTGTGCTCAGGAAGGCAACATTGTGGACGTTTTAGACAAATGTACAAATCCCCTTAGTGAAACTAAACATGATATTTGGCATGTTCAAACTCCTCAATTTCTAAGAAGAAAAACAAGAGAAACACACAAGTGATAAAAAAATTCATATTGTTTGGTGCACTACCAAGACCCCATGCTAATGTGGCAGTATTGTACAAGTACTGTCAAAATCCTATCAACATCATTTAGAAACTAAATACAATACATAAAAAATAAAAACTGAAGTTGAATAAAGACATAAGAGAAGTTAACTGATTAAAATATGAAATATTTATGATATAGAAGTTTACAGACTCATTTCATAAGAGAAAAATATTTTATCAATAAGACAAGGAAGCACAATGTTGATGAAACAAAGCTAATTCTCATTACTGATACGTAGTCAACTCTAAAAATGTTTAAATGTGTAGAAACTCCGTTTTTTCCTTACCTTGCAGTAGGCTCATTCCTATCATGGTAAACATTTATTCGACCAACAAATCTGTAAAGGAAACATGCAAGCGGTTTAGCAGCACTGCTAATTTGCATATTTGTATGTATATATGTCCAAATATTTCAATTTTTTTAAATGTACATCACAAGGACATATAATTCTCTCTGTGTACAGATGTATATATACCACACATACATATTTAAAAAAGCCTAAGTGAGAATAGCTTATTTGAGATGTATTTTATAGAAAGTATATATTATAGTGAGCAAACAGCTTCCAATTAAGCGTGCTCTGATTATCCAGGAAATAAACAGGAACACAGAGATACATATGGATATATTTAAAACATGTAGACACAAAAATACACAGAACACTAAGTCAATGTAAAGTTTGTGTATTAGAAGATATAAAAGATTATAAAATTATGAATAAACTTCTAATTAGACAAGAAATCTTATTCTGTAAACTACCTGAGGTAAGTAACAGTATGATTACTATCCTTTACAAGACCTAAAACCTACAACTGAGTTAAAAGCAAAACAAAACAAAAGTATAGAGCCAATAACCAATTTTCCCTCTTAATTTCTCTAAGTACATTTTATCTATATGTGGTGGGCTGACCCTGGACAGCAGCTAAGCACCCACTAGCCTCTCACTCATTCCCTCCCCAGAGGTTAGGGGAGAGAACTGGAAGAGCAAAAGTGAGATAGTGACAGTTTACTAAGTGAAGAAAAAAACCCCAAGCGATACAACAGCAACCATCACCACCTCCCATAAGCAAACTGATGCCCAGCCAAGTCTCCAAGCAACAGCTACTTTGGAAAGACTACCCCCCCCCAGTTTTATTGCTGAGCATGACATTGTATGGCACAGAATATCCCTCTGGTCAACTGAGGTCAGCTGTCCTGGCTGTGTCCACTCTCAGCCTCTCACCCACCCCCAGCCTACTTGCTGGAGGGCAGAGTGAGAAACAGAGAAAGCCTTGACTGCTGTGCAAGCACTTTTCAGCAATAGCTAAAACACTAGTGTGTTATTAACACTGTTTTAGTCACAGATCAAAAACACTACACCACACGGGCTGCTACGAAGAAAATTAACCCCATTCCAGGCAGACTCAGTACACTGTATTTGCAGTACCACTGTCCAAGCAGGTAACCTAAAACCAAAAGTGATTAAGCTGGACATTAGCATTCTGGATGGCAGAGGAAACTGTGCGGAGCTGGTGGGTCTGTTACCCTGGAAGGGAACCTCTCAGGCTCAGGGACATAACCCAGCAGAGCCACATCTAAAGACACTGTACAGTTTGTTATGATACATCATGATGTAAAATGACTATGCGCCTTTGGAAAGAAAGATTCACCATTGTGGTTTGTGGAGATTTAAAGTGCCAAGTAAAAATTAGCAGAGATAGAAGCTGCCTACCAATAAGCATTCTCATTATTTGTGTTTCAACAGCTGTCTCAGCCAATTCCACCATCTATAACAGCGTGAGCTTCAAAACTTGCAAATGTTCATTTTGTGACCCACGTATTTAAAAAAAGGATCAAGCCATTCATGGAACTGGTTTTCTAAAGAAGCTGTTCTCTTGCAGATTCCTAGACCAGTTCCTTGGTCACCGAGATCAGGGAAAAAGCGATACCTCCACACCTCAGAAATAAGCAATGTTTCCTCTGCATCTTCCAACAGTATTTGCTGATAAAAGAGTGCATTTTAGTTTGTTGCCATATTGTTTTCTGTGTATTATTTCAGCTATTTTTACTGTGGCAGGCAGAGCAAGTTTCCCCAATGCTATGTGGCTTTTTGTCTTTCACTATTAAGAAGGAAACCTCAAAAGTGGCTTCTAAAGATTATTTTATTTTATTTAGTGAAATTTTGTACAGTACTTTTGTGAAATATTGAGTATTACACATTGCTAAAACGCTTTAGAGGTTTTTCTTCATGTTCTGGATGCTTAGCTTTTAAATGTCTTCTAATCATGATGGCTTCATGCTATCATAAGCTAGTATCTCAAATCACGTAGGGTGTGATTCTTTGTTAACGATAGCAGATATAAATCCATATTTCAAATAGTCTTGACAATTTCAATTTTTTTTCGCTGACTTCTTGTCTGATCTGATTGGATTGGCATTGTTTTTATCTCATGGCTAAGGAAGAGCTCATACTAGGAGTGGAAGTGTTTGCCATTGTCTTGTTCACTTGTGCTTGCATTTAGTATTATCTTCAATCCACAGTTTCTTTGTGGGAATCTTTATAAGCCACTTGACCGTCATGTGCCACTGGCAACCTCTCCATGTTGTAGAGCACCCTCTCTTCCCCGGGACTCCTCGTGAACTGTATGTGACACAGGACTCTCACGCGCAGACAGAGGAAGGGCGCCAGTACCAATATTAAATACTAGTAAAGCTTAATTTTATTTTCTTTCTTTTTTTTTTATTTAAAAAAATAAATAGAAATAGAAGTTCTAAAATTTTTATCATGCACCCCAATGGATCAGCATGTGCACCCCCTTTGGAGACCACTGCCCTACAGCAGACCAGTGAACTACTTGCAGGAAAGGAGCACGGATGGAAGACTAACCTGTCTTCAAGCTCACCCTCGTGCCCACTCTAACCAGGCAGATGCAGCTGGTATCTTTTCATTATGATATTCTTATAATTTATTGGTAGGATACCTTAAATGAAACAGGTAAGAATTATTTTCTTACTTATAAAGGTCAGGCTGAGGTTGTTCACATTCAATGGTAGCATGCAGTGCATCAATTTCTTGTTCATTGTGAAATGCCTTTGTATCTTGAACAGCATAGTAAGTCTGGAATGAATAAAAAGGTGTAAATAAAAATCAAAAAAGTAAGGACAGATATAAAAGACATTAATCTGCACATATACATCAGCTGAGCACAAAATAGATTTACTAGCTTTTACTAGCTACTTGAACTAGCTATAGTTCTAATAAGATGCACCTTTACATGCTCCTAATTGGGAATCTTCCTGCATTATATGCAAGTACCTTCCAGGTCACCGTAAAAGCATTTAAGTACAAAAAATTTTGTGCATTATCTCTGTAATCTGTATGCCTATACTGGACACAGACAAAATCACAAATACATACATTTTAAAACTTTCCATAAAAAACCCGATACTTTAAGTGAAACAAAGTCAACTGGTAGAAATGTAAGTTACACAAGTTAGTGTATCTGCTCACACATATTAAGCATGAAGTCATATTGTAATCTGTGTAAAAAATTAAATGCAAACTTTGCCTTAAAAAGAAATTGTAGAACTTTTTATTACTTTATGACTGGATTCACCATCCAAACTAGCTGTTGTAACAAAACATGTTCCATCTCCTCTACTACTTGATAGAAATATTAAGTCACATGGGAATGTTTCATCTTCTTTTACCATTACAATATCTCCAACCTAGGGAAAAAAAAACCACAGTAAAATGAAATACATTTATCATTTCTGTAGCAGCCCAAATTTCAGATTTCAAAACCACAACCTAGGTTCACTCAAATATCTTGAAAATTCATCAAATTTTATTTACACCAGGATTTTACCACAGGAGTAAAAGAACTACAGAAACGTCTCTGAAAAACTGAATTACAGCTTGCGGAATGACTGAAGTCTACTGTCTACTACCTTTCCTCTCAGGATAACCATTTTGCAAGTACTGTCAGTTTACTAAGTCTTGCAACTTTATTTGAGAGATGGAAGATACTGTCCTTGTTTTAACACTAAATACAATAAAACATTGTTTCAAAAACAGAGATAAGAGCCAACAACAGTAGTTCACAAGGATAAGCATCTAGCTCTGAATATTATAATTAGAAATAGCTGAAAAAGCTAAGAATTCCAAGTCTGCCAATGAAAACAGGATACATTTTTCAGCAGAATTTATGACTAGAAGTCCATCCTATTTTTATCCATGTTTAAAGGTAAGCAAACTAATTTTTATTCATGCAAACATAGGTAATATCTTACAGCATGTTAAGAGTGTCACAGAACAGCCAACCACCTATAAATTCAAAATATTACTGTAAGCCACTCATTTGGAAAAAAAACCCCAGCCTTTAATACATTTTTGGAGGTCATCTTTTACAAAGGAATATAAAAAAATGAACAAATGGCAAAGATATACTAGATGATTTAAGAATATCAAAGTTTCAATAAAAATCCCATCAAAATATGTATTTTTTGCAATTTTTCATGTAGCTCAACATCTGTTCAGTATACTTTTATGTCATAATTCATTATCATAAGATTCAGCTTAATCATTGTTCTCATGATACACTTATAAAGCTAAACTTCAATATCCTTAGCAGTTGGCAGGAGCCAGTTAATTCCAGTTACGCAAAATAGTCCGGTAACAACCAGCAATAGTAACATCTAAAAATAAAATTGTGACAGCTTAGATAAGATTTACTAACATGTATTGAAGAACTAGGATGATGATATAATAAATGAGATTTAACTTCTTGTAGATATGAAAAAGGCTTTTTATTAACCAATAGCAATGAAAAATTGTAGATTATATATACGGCATAGGAGAATGCAAGTTGCTAAGCATACCTGCAACAATCAGGTATGAAAATTAACAGAAACTTCAATAAGATATTTTCCATCTTTTGTGTAAACGGTGGCATCTTTTTGAAAATCATGACTTCTAGCGCAGCAGTAGAGCTGTACGGTTTACTAATTTTCAGCCTCTGAACAAAAGTTAGAGACTTATTAAAACACCATGATAATTAGCTAATCTGTTTCTTGAGGGGGAAAAGCTGCACTTTTAACCAGTAATAAGTTTGCAGCTGTTCATTTTTAGGAAGGGATTAATTTCCTCATATATTTCTTTTTGATTAAATGACTTCTCATGTATCATTCTGCAGACCCAGGGAAGTGAAGATACGTAGTGAGACAGAGAAGGGGTAGGTTTGGAAGCAGAGGCGGTGAATGTCTTGGCTGGAGCCAGCCTGAACAATACAGAGCCTTCATCCCAAAAAGCAGTGCACCCTGACGGACCAGACTACTGCTCAAGTTGCCTTATTCTTCCCAAGATACGTCTTCAAAAGAACCTGCCTTTTTGCCACAAAATCATTAATTATGAAAGATGGTGACATGATAAATTATAATGAAGCTCTCAAAGTGAGAATTTTACCAAAACCAGACAAAACACTGTTAAGGAATTATCTTGAATTAAGTGTTAGGTGACAGAGAATCCACCTATTCCTAGAACAAACTGTAAGAACATCACATAACTATTTTGATTTTACTAGCTTTCTTTACCACTGAAAAGAATGTCAATTTATCAGCTACCTAAAACACAGTGATATTACTGCAAGTTTAAGCTCCTCTACAGATGTCATAAAAGGAAAAAATCAGAATTCTTCAGAACATTGAATCTGGCCAGAAAGTCAGGAGGCCACTTTAGCAAACAAACCCTTCCTGACAATCACATGTCACTACAAGAACAAGCATGACAAAAAAATGCCCACTGTGTCTGGAGTTTTTTTAAGTTGCCACTGAAAACATTTACACATCAGAAAGTGAGATTTTAGGTCCAACTCGTAAAGACAAAAGAGTCCTCTTCTGATTTTCACAGATCATAGTGTTGAATGATCCTTATTATTTATTAATTTATCTAGCAAGATTCTCTCTGTAAGCCATGGCATACAAGTCACCCTGCAAGCCAGAAACAATCTATAATACAAGAGCCTATTAAAATAAAAGTTAATAATCTAAACAATTTTCAAAAGAAACAAAGGCAGGAATAAGAAAAAACCCCAAACAATTAAAAGTACTAGCAAAGAACATCTTAACAAAATCTAAAAGGTGTTCTGACAACATTTGCCACTGTGTCAGCGAACAGTGCAAAGAGGACAAAGCCTGGCTCCTTCCAGTGGTGCCCAGTGACAGGACCAGAGGCAACGGGCACAACCTGAAACATGGGAGGGTCCATCTCATTTTCACTGCGAGGGTGACTGGGCACTGGCACAGGTTGCCCAGGGAGGTTGTGGAGTCTCCCTCCTTGCAGACATTCAAAACCTGTCTGGACGTGGTCCTGGGCAACCGGCTCTCGGTGGCCCTCCCCTGAGCTGGTCGGTTGGACCAGATGACCTCCAGATGCCTGCCAACCTCAACCAGTCTGTGATTCTGTCAAAAAGAAACCCCATCTTTTAGCAATTATTTTTTTCCTTTCTTTAATCAAATGTCCACAGGCTGTAGGTCCATAAGGGTCTACCTTTATACAATCTAGTCTGTTTTCTTGCATAATACAGGTCAGAGAACTTTATCCATTTACCCATGCATACAGATATCCCTTTACATGCAAATATTTCCTATGCCTGTCTCTCCTATCATTTAATTGCTCAAAATATACAATCTCTGAATGACAAAGAATAGGGGAAAAATTGAGAAAATACAGACAATCGATTAATTAATGGAATACAAATTCCAGTTATCTGGTACTTTATTATTTTTATTTGGAATTAGTTACAAACTTGGAATACTCAGCATGTGATGGCTTAATTTTTTTTTATTACCGGGAAGCCCTAGGCAGAAACTATCACACTCAAAGGGAAGGTCACAGCAGAAAGGCTGTGAACATTGCACAGCCATTTATGCCCAAACAAGGCAGAGCAGAAAAAGACACCCCTAACAAAGATACCAGAAATAAGGAAAATCCAAACAAATACCTATCAAATTTGCTGAGTTCTAAAAGAGAATAATGATGAAAAGTTAATCTGCTCACCACAAAAAACAAACAAAAAAACCAAAAAAAAGCAGCAGCAGAAATTAATTTCTGAAAATAACCTTCAAAATCCCGGGAAAGGAGTGTAGCAGCATTCAGAAGGCCAATGAAGATGCTATGATTTGATGGGTAATGAAGAAAGTATTCTGTATGTGTTGTGTGTATACATATGTATGCATATAAATGTGTTGTATACATAGAACAAATCAGTAGCATTGACTATCATAATCAGGTTTAAATAAATTATTAATGTGCATAACCACAGAGGAACGAAAATGGAGAAAAGAGAAGACAAATCATGAGTGAAATTCCAAGTTAAAAAATGGAAAATGAAAGGAACAATTATGAGAGGAGTTAACAAAGCTAAGATAAAGCAGAAACCTAGCTTCTAAAAATACTTTATTCAGAGGCATTAAATTAAAAAGTAGTATATTGTAGGTCTAATCTCCATTAAATGTAATAAATGCTACATCATCATCACACTACATTTCTGCATAACTTGTAAAACAAGAGGTGTGCAGTAAAGCCTGACTCCTAAAATCTGTTTAAGTCATAGTTACTTACTCTTAATTTTCGGCTTTGCTTTCTAACCAGTTTACCATGTTGAATGAAATGAACAGGGCATTGGTTCATTGCATTGTCAGCTTTATGTCGAAGCCAATCTTCATAACCCTAGAAAACAGTGAAATGGAATGATGCAGTGATGCACATTTGGCCATAAAGACAGAACAGCTCTAGCTTGTAACAAAAATTTCAAAAGTTATCCTTGATCAAGATAAGGAAAAAAAAAAGAAAATATTTTCACTAGAACAAATGAAATTGTGATACATGTCAGTAATACACTCATGTTGGACATATATGAAAAAGAGCATTCACGGTCACAATTAGCCAACAAAATTATATATTTTAATGAAGATGTTTTGATAAATGGGGATGTTTACAACGTGTAGAACAATTTCTGATGTTTAAGCTATCATCTCTTGCTCATGCTCTATTGACTCCTGAGCAAGTGCAAAGTAGTTATAGAAGCAGTTGCTGAGAAGATGAAAGTGTAGAAAATATATTTTGGAAGACTGGGACTCGAGATTGAAAGAAAAAGTGACGACAAGACTGAAGGTGGTCATATTTCTTGATTGTCATGCAATTATGTCAAACTTTTTACCCCTATATACAATATACATAGTCCTGAAGAAGTTTGTTTTAAGAGACTTTGTAGAATAACCTATTTTGATTGCTCAATTATCCTATGAATTTGTGTTTTATACAAACAGACAAAGTAAAGAACAGAGAATCTGCAACTTTCCATTCAAAAGGTCCTGCCGTGGGATAAAGATTGGGACTGACAAAGACACCATTGGTTAAGAGATAGAAAATACCACTCATATTCCATAGCATTTTTACATCTAATTCTCTTGAGCATATTTGAAAATTCAATGTAGAACAAAAGTATCACTACCTTGGATACTCTCAAGAGATAATCTGGGAACTCACAGAGTCTTTACAACTTCAGTCTAATTATACTTCCAGGGGCTGGTACGGCTCCTCAAGCAGGTCCCAAAGTCTACACCAGTTGTCGGGAGAAAGACTCAAGGAGGTAGATGGAACTGCAGTACTAGACACAGCTTGTCATAATCCAGCCTTTAGAGGCCGCTACCAAACTACAGTAAGACTCTAAAGTGTAAGATTTTAAATCTTCAGAGTGGGATAGCCACACCAAAAATACCAGCTATTGCATGTATCACAATTTTTGCTCACCAGCAAGAACTGAATTCTACTATAGAATACACTCAGTTGTGTATAGTTGGCACTGTAAAGAAATGGAAACACTGCTCTCTGTAGTTTCGTTGAAAACTCATGAAGAAAAGGTCTACATTTAGCATGACAACCGCGAAGGTAATCAGTTATCCTATTAAGGGACAATCAAAATTTCTCTCTATTCTGGGTCTGGCTGGGATGGAGTTAACTTTCTTCACAGCAGCCCATGTGCTGCTGTGCTTTGTACTTGCGGCTACAAGAGCATTGGTTACACCCCAGTGTTTTGGCTACTGCTGAACAGTGCTTGCACAGCCTCAATGCTTTCTCTCCAACCTCCCCACACACCAGAAAAAGGCCAGTAGGCTGGCAGTGGCCAAGAGGCTGGGAGGGGACACAGCCTGGATGGCAGACCCAAACTGACTAAGGGGATATTCCACCCCATATGACATTGTGCTCAGCAAGAAAAGCTCGGGGAAAGCAGGCAGAAAGGGTCGTTTGTGGTGATAGCATTTGTTCTCCTAAGCAAGCGTTACATGTGCTGAGGCCCTGCTTTCCAAGAAGTGGCTGGACATCTGCCTGCTGATAGGAAGCAGTGAATGAACTGCTTATAACTGCTTATTTTCTTGGCTTGTGTGCATAGCTGTTGCTTTGCCTATCAAAGCGTCACTAACATGATACACAAGTCTCCTCACTTTCCCTCTATTTTCCACAAGACAGGGGAGTGAGCGAGAAGCTGGGTGGGTGTTTGGCTGCTGGCCAGGGTCAACACACCACATCCTCATTTTTGTTAGTCACTGTTTTAATCATCATAGTCCATCATAGGTATGTAAGAAATACAGACACCCCCCACTCTACAAGTTTTGAGCTAAAATGAGGAGCACTCTGACCTAGAAACTGCCTTGATGTTCAGAAGCACAACATGAGAGATCTTTCTTATGCCCACGGAAGGTGTTAATTCCTTCAAGCGGCCCAGCAAAAGATGCTGAAAATCAAGCTGCTTGCATAGATTTTCCTTTCACATTGACATTCCATTCACTGAAATGAAGGAAAGAAATGGCTGGTCTCCGGACCCAGAGATACAGTGAAGACTAATCCTTGAAAGGGAACTCACTGTGCTGCTCAGTTCTTACCCTGATAGCTGTCCTGCAGGAGCAATTATCATTAAATTGGACTGAAGGCAAAAAGCCAAACACGCAACAGAACCACTGTAAAGACCTTTATTTGTTACTGTTACTTTAGGAGCCCAGATTTTTAGAAACTACTCTGTGGCTATGGTACAGTAAATGCAGAAGTGTGTTGTAAGCACCGAATGCAAAGTACTGCTTATAAACTCATTTGCTAGTCCAAATTTAGCAAAATTTTTGATGAATTAACTTAGCAAGGTTTATGCCTTATCAGGTATCCTCTGTCCTCCTGCAGCTGGCCTGAAACTCACAAAGTCAACAAATTCGGCTCTGACTAAATCAACAGAAGGGCAATCACAAGCTCATTCCTCATTCATTCCTGATCCAGACCAAATCTGTAATATCAGAAGCTCTGATAACATACAGATCTGATTGTAATATCCCCATATGAATTAAAACATTCTATATTAATCTGAGATTCCACTAATTTCAATAAGATCCAACCTACATTTAAGTGCTTATGTCAACTGTAGCACTACAGCATTAGGGTAGCAGGTGAAAGACTACCTTAATCTTTTCCTTTTCGTAGTACTAACTTGAAAGTGAAATGGCAAACCTGTACAATTCCATAGCTGTATTATGCAATTTGATTTTGACAGAGCAACTTCGGTTAGGATCTTTTATACCCGATGATGTGGCAAGACCTAATTTCTAAAAAATACTTCAATTTTATGGACTAATTTTCACATCAACAATGAGAGTATACAGTAACATCCGCAGAAAGCACTGCAGCTATCGTTATGAACTATAGATTACAATCAACATATACTGAAGACTTGAACCAAAAAAGTTTTTATTATCTGTTCATACTGTAAAGGCTAAGGTAAGCTCAAAGGTAAGAGAAGATTTATCTTATAAGTTTTTGTAGTTCTTACTAAACTCATTTTCAGTCATTATGGAAAAACATAATAGGATGCAGACAGCTATTTAGAAACAAACAAAAGTCGAAGTGTGCTGAGTTAACACAAAAATGTAAATGATTCCTTGTAACACAAGGACATAAAAATTATGAAAAAATTCAGAAGCTTGTGTTGAATTAGTGAGACATCATCATATAGCGACCAATTCTACTTAAACTACAGAAACAAAAATAAAACTACTCTGTCAGAATTCATCGCAACCATTCTTTAGGCATTGCCTTAAGACAGTCTAACACAAAAAGGCAGGGAAAATTGAAATGCAAAACAAATAATAATGCTCTCTTTAGTTTTACTTTTGCTTGCTAAATTACTTACCTGTTTGATAGCTGTTACGGTGATGACAAATAAAAGTGGAAGTCCACTTGTAACTGGACTAGTAGGTGTATCAATAATTAACTGCAACAAGAGTAACAAATATTTTCTGGTTATATTTTTGTGAACGTAAGCAGTCAATTTTTCAGGCAAGATGTTTCAAGTAATCATTTCACCAATATGTTACAAAGCACCGCAGAACTTTAATTAAAAAGAACAGTACTTTAATACAATTTTAAGAATATACACTATATCAACAAAATTTGAAAAAGTATATGTTATAATAAGATATAATACTGTATTTAGATCACAGTAACATTCAGATGTTAATGCCTAGAAAAATATTTGCCTGCAAGAGTTTAAGTAAGTACCAGACTGGAAAGCTGCAGCTTTGGAGGCAAAATTACTGAGCAGCATTAAAAATTAGCATGGCACTGTTTTTATGTGTTATACAATACAGCTGTCCTTATGCATGCAAGGAGTAAATCTTGAAATATTGAGCTGTGGCTTCCGCAATTACAAACAAAGAGGTAGAATCCAGAGAGGGAGTTCAAATGATAAGAAAACCCAAATTGTCCTGGGAATCTGCATAGCTTTTCTTGCTGTGCAATCTGGTGTGCAAAATAATACAGCTTTTCACCTCACTTAGTAACATTTTATTGTTTAACACATTTAAGTGATTGTGAAAGACACCTAGAAAGCAGCAAACTAAAGCAGCAAAAAAACCTGAGGTAATAATTACAAAACCAAACATTTACGTACCACCCTACGCAAGCGTTGTATAAGCATCTGTATTTCAGGTTCTCTACAGGCTTTGATGACTGCAGTTGGAACATTTCTGCCAAGGCATCATTGTTATAAAAAATAAAGTATTTTGCAAAATCAACAAAAGTTCATCATCAACATAGTTTATAACGATGGTTTTACTGATCTGGATGTTTGTTTATTACAAAACAAAAATAAAAGTTACACTCATTCTTTTCAATTTTATCAAGAGATGTCTTGCCATCAAACCCGTGATGGTGTCAATTTCTCTTTAGGCTAAATTCACATTTAGAACTTGGCAACAAAATAAAACTCTTCTTGCCACATCATCAGTGTAGAAGGCTGTCCAGGCTGAACCATTTACCTCTTCAGTCATCAAAACCAGTGCATTTTTAAACCTTTTTCAACTCCTTTGTTTTTAGGAAGAGTCCAGAAATTTATTGAAAAATGGGGATAGCTTACCTGAACAAGGAAAATGATCAGAAAATAGAAGTTAGCTATTCTTCTGAATTGCTCAAACAAATTTTTCGGTACAAAGTTCCAAAACGTGTACTGCAAACAAATGCACAGATTATCAGTGTTTGTGAGAGAATTATTATTGGCATTCTATGTTCTAAAAAATAAATAAAAATTTCATAATTCACAATTCAAGATTAAATTAGACAAGAAGCAGGAGTATTTTTGATACTTCAATCATTTACTAAAATGGAATCTTAAATGGGCAATCATGTATTTTTGGATTCATATCAATTTTCTGAACTGTGATAATCTTGGTACTAGGGACTGAAATAATTTTTGACTATCGACAATGCTCATTCAGAGATTTAGTTACAGAGCAGTTTATTTAAAGCCACCAATGGATTTTAAAACATCTTAGTCAATTCAAACAGCACTTTTAATTCACTTCTATTTTGTATGCATGACTTGAGGAGGTAGGTGGCACTCTGAGAGTTAACTTTGCAGTCATAGCAAGTTGACCAAATAGAAGTTGTCAGCCCCTCTTCTGTTCCTTGGCTTGGACACAAACATACTTCTCAAAATAAACTATAGCAGTGAATAAGAGTAAGTGGCTGCATATTTCTCTACTGATCTTACAAATTATCTAAAGTTTAGTAAAATGACATAAGAAACAGTATATAAAAGTGCAAACAGAAATGCAAAAACTTCAAAGGAAAAAAATTGTATGAAAGTGAGAGAGAAAGGACCTTACATCATCTAGCCCCTTCCCCTGTCCTGCAGCAGGTTCAACCATACTCTTTTAAACAGCTCACTCTGTAGCTCCAAAAAAAAAACCAAAACCCAAACCCAAACCAAAATAGCAAGGATTGCTTACTGGAACACATGTAAAAACATCAGCTAAAACTGTGTGAAAAGGTGCAAAAAATGGCTCGAGAAAACTAACACTGTGTCATCTTATTATTGAAATTATCATTTGACACATAATAAAATGACAACTCCAATGTAACTTTCATTTCAAAGGAGATGGACTAAGAAGCTTGCTTCTCCTAATTAGTTGCTCTGCTACAAATGCACCTTGTCTCTTCTTGGCAGATTGCACTGATAAACAAATTGTGCCATGAGTTAGACATCTTCCAAATTTGGCCCTGAAAGCAAAGACAGCCAGAGCTCTAGAAGGAAAATACCTCTATTACATCTGCAGATAAAAAGGATCCTTGAGAAGTATGCCTTAGTCATACATGAAACCCCTATAATGTCATCTTTTTACTTGTTGGGAGTAAAGCCTGGACATGTGCAAGACATAGGAATGAAATTTTCTTTTTCTGTTACGTGCCAAAAATCAGTATCTATTCTAAATATGCCCTAAGTAAACACTTATCCTGCTTAATAGTTACCTCAATATTAAATCACCTTTGAGCAAGCCAAAACTCAGGCAGGCATGCATGCAACAGCTGGAAAGTCAAGTGCTCTCATCTTGCAATCAGAATACTTTTCATCAGACTGGAATGCTGCTTGCACTGCCTGCTACCTAGCTACTTGTCTTGGAATTTTGAAAGAGAACGAGTTAGACTTGATTATTTTTCCTTGCACAACAGTCCTGATCGTTCAAAGCTGCTGTTGTGACATATGACAATATAAATTCTATTCTATGATAATAATTTTATATTTTCATCATTAACTTTGATTATAAGGCAAATTAGCTCTGTTTTCTAATCTTATGCATTTATTTTTTGTGAATCTCTGACTGCTGAGAAGGAAAAATGAATAGAGGTTTCAGTAAAAAACTTCTGTTTACGTATTTGTTCAGCTCTTTTGATAGAAAAAGTGGTTTTTTCCATGTTAAAGAGTTTTTTTGATCAATAAAGTTTGATGATCTATACAAGCTCCCAAAATCACCATTCGTAAAATAAAAACGTAATCTCTTATGCAATAACTTCCTGGTTAAATCTCCTAGAGGGTTATTTGACTAAATGTGTGGTGACAGCATATTATTGTCAGACTAGATATTTAAAACATCTGATTGAGGAAGTCAAGTAATTTAGTTAAAACAACAATCTATTGTTGGGTATTCATCTTTACGCTTAGTATCTGATCCTCCTCATGCTCCAACCTCTGTTCACTGCTTTCCCTGTCAAGCAGTGGTCTTTCCCACAGCTCCACCTTCGGTCAGCAACTCTCTTACCTGAATAAATATGAACAACCTGGGAGCAGATCACTTTTATGGTCTGAGAGGTGTTACTTAAAATGGATGCTTCTTTAACACAGAAAACTTCTTAAAACTTTGTTTTCAAACAACCTGACAGACTTTTAGCACTTCATCACACTGGGTTTCAGACATAAAAAGTACACCTTTATTCTGCCCATTCTTCTTCAAAGGAGAAGTAACAATTCTTGAAGGACTTTAGGCAAGAAAGACAGACCACTAAGATGTCTAGACAGACCTCCTCCTGCCCCAGCCATCAGCAGGTCAGAGCAGTATCTACAAATGGATGATTAATGTTTAACCACCATAATAATCACTCCCAGGAGAAACAACAGGGTGGCTGCCACTCAGAACAAGATTTGTCTCATGACTGCATTCAAGGCAGTTTCGCTACCCTAGTTAGGGAGGAACAAAATAAAAATCTGTGAAGACAAGACATTAAAAATGAAGACATTAAACACATCAGACTACTGTGCCCAGACAGAGAGTTAATACCATCTCTCTTCAGATAATTACTAGTCATGTTCTTCGTAAACTCTGAAAAGCAGTTTATGTATATTTAACTACCTTTTTCATTATAACTCACTTAAAGGCAATAAGGTTATCCCAATAGTTACGCACTTGAAGCTTTTACACTGGGGAAGGCTTCACTGATCTTTTTCAATTGCTGCAAAAGACTCAGAGGCCAGAGCACATACGTGCCTTTCGCATACAGGAGGCAATACGTCAGACAGCAGGTAGTAGTTACGTATTCATCCAAAAGATGAACGCGTTGTGCAAACAGATGCATCTGAAGCACTGTGCAAGGAACTGTAAAATCAGTTTGTCTAGAGTCAAAACAGCATAATTCAAGTAGATTTTCTTCCCATTTATAATCGTAATAGCACCTGCAGTGCTGGTGTATGTGCTTAGACTACTTATGCACACCTCTGCAGTATTCCTGCTCATGCCCCTGCTCCATCTCACCAATCCTTGCATCCTAATGCTGTGTTGCCTCCAGCTCCAACACCTCCAGTCCCATGAATTCAAAAATATAAAGTAGGGTCTTAACCATAGTTTAATTTTTTTGAACACTGTATTTTGACCTTTTCATTTGATACCTCTATACCAGAATTCTGGCTCACATTTCAAGCTTCTCTTTCTATCTTAAGAGGCAGATATTTTCTTAAGTAAAAAGGAGAGTTTCTTAAGAGTAATCACTTGACATGAAAAGCTGGAGCTGTAAGAAGAAAGCACTCCACATTGCATTATTGAGTTCGGTCAACACCTCAGTTTCTTACAGCTTATTTGTTTTAAATAGTCACCATCTCTTTTCTAACCTGTTCTAATTTCACTCCTTTCCCTCAACCTTTTCAACTGTTTCTTGTAAATGCTTAAAACTATTCTGACCAAAATATCTATGTTGTTTCTGCAAAATAGAGCCCATCTTGCGGATAATAAATTCAGGGAAGAACAGATAAAAGCTGAACTGATTCTGACTGAATCTTGCAGTCACATCTAAGCTTTTCAATGTTTTTCTTTTAACAGATCAAGACACATAGACAAAACTTGAACATGTCCATTATGGCTTCAGTATTTTTAATATGCAGATTTTTATAGTACCTATCAATTACCAAGAGACAATACATTATTAAAGCTGCCAGCTTAACAACTGGACTGTATGTGTGCATACACATATATGCACATAACATTTTATATCTAATACCTTACATATTATTATGCTATTGAAACAACCCCAGTATTACAAATGTCACATATATATAGTTATCCCCCTTCAACAGAGTAGCTGAAAAAGGTCTGATCAAAAAAGTTTGACAATTTCTTTAAAATTAGTTTTACTTATCAGTGTTACTTTTTTTTGAAACACAATTTGTCTAACTATTATAGAGTAGAGAACTGGCACAGAAAACTATAGTAAAGGGTGTGAAAAAAGGAAATCAATAATTAGCTGAAATCCTAAGAACCAAGTCAAGAGTATGGCTTGTCTATCTCAAATGACTTGCTTATAACCACATAGGAAGTTTGTAGCAGAACTGATCTGTGTTCTTTGATTTATTAAGTCAGTCTCCACTCTAACTTCTTCAAGCAAAAAACTTCAGACTTCCATGATTATATACGACTCAAAATTGGAATAGTAATATCCATGAAATTTTGAAAAGCACTTTGCAATGTTTAGGACAATTTGGAATGAATGTAGAAATACACAATTAACTATATTTTAATGAAAGCATCAACATGCGCGCCACCTGCACAGTGTTTATCACTCCTTTGAGGGAGAGACCCCTGTTTCTCTACACCACATGATGTAGGGTGGTTCACATCACAGGGATCACTGTAAGCTCCGTTACACGTAGGGCTTTGGCATGCAACTAAGAGCCACTTGTACACTCAGAGAGAGTGCAAAAATGAAACTGATTTGGGGAAATCAGTTCAAATGGTGCCTACATATTTGAATGAACAAGCATACATATTTTGTCATAGGGTTCCTTAAAAATAGTTGCTGATAAAACAGGATTTCTACTACAAAGAAAGAAACCTAATCTGTAGTAGTCCTTGTTCAGCAGCTCTCAATCTTATCGAACAGGGGCTATGTCTCCAGGAACTCCTCTGACAAAGACATCCCCCAGCATCTGGAAGATTAACTAATTAAAATGAAAAAAAGAAAAAAAGCTTACAGCAAGGATGACTGACTGAAGAAAGAAGTCGCTGAGAACATTAGGAAAACAGAAGAAAGTGTGAGAGAGTGTGTGCTAGAGTGAGCAAGCTGCACTTTCTCATACATAAAGTGAGGAGAATTACATCTGTCCTCCCTGGTGTTGTGTTTGGACCTGCTTGCTTACCTTCCTTTCCTCCACTTCTCTCTCCCTACATGCAGACTCCACACTGATAT